AATGGATATAAAACGCCAGAAAGTAAAAAATTTATTCAATAATTGAGCGATTGATTCAGATACTGTTTATCGCTGGTAGGCTAAGAAACATTTCTTTCTAGAAGAATTTGAGAACGCGGTAGTGCTGAGTTGTTAGGAATGTATATAATGTCACCATGCTGGTGCTGTCAATAACAAATTTAAGACTCTCTCAACCCAAGCTTATCACTTGAACTAGCATTTAACAAATTAAGTACCGGTAGGCTCAGTTGAACCGTGAGGTTCCACAACATTATAACGAATATCGCCTGAATAGTAAACCAGTCTATAGCATAGAGACAGAAGGTTGTTGTTGTCGTTGTTATGTAAAATCGCTTTTTTTCTCGACTGCCGACAGATTTGAAATTTGCTTTACTGCAAGATGTTTGATGCCTTTAAAATGCCATTACTTTTATTTTTGAATTAACTTTCTATATAACTATTTTTCACCCAAAATGTTGCTATTTTATTTCAATTCATTAGAACACTTATTTTACGGGGTGGACACTTTTGATTTTTGTATCCGTGTATCTGAGCTTTGCTTGTTTTTGATAAGTCAGTGAAAGCTGAGTTGACAGTAATTGAATTATATTTATAATGAGGCGTCACTTACAAATTACGAGGTAAATCTGTGTGAAAATAAATCGATTCGTTTTACTGAATAATAAGAAGTCGCGGCTAAATTTAATCTTGTGGTACCACTAGTTTCCCTTGTTGGATTGCTTGCTGTTACACATATTAGGAGGGTTAAATATTTTATCGTAAAATGCGCATTGGTTAACAACCTGTAAGTTTAGAAAAATAAAATTAAAGTTTTCAAATATGGAGATTGGTTAATACTCATGTTATTTATATATATAGTGATATTATACTCAATGGTTTACACCCTCAAATTTTCACTCATCAATTCTAAGGCTCTATGAATGCAATGTTTTAATATACTCAAATTAAGGTCATGCGCCCTCACTGAAAAGTAAAGGAAATTCATTTCTTCAAATGTACGAACGACCACTGTAAGTACGGTACTCCCGTAGTGTGTGTACGAGGTTAGGGTTAGGTCATAATTTTATTCCGATTTTCCTTATTTTAGTTCTATTACGAGTTCGGGGACTGTCTGTGTTAGCCAAGTGAATATACCCCCTGCCCATAGGCTTCCGTCCCTTTACACAACTTGATGTAAAGTAGGCGAACGAAATTAGTGACCTCGATATTGGTACACACACTTCTGGTGCGCCGAAAGTACTACTAAAATCATATAGATTTATTGTGGTATATTACGCGAGAAAAGATGACGATTGACGTATGACTTGGAGCAGTTCAAATTAATAAAACCGGAAATCAGCTATAAAATAGTGATTAAACGTAGGATGAAATGTTTTAAAAGTCGGAAAAAGGCGTTTCGAAATAAAAAGCTTCGCGCTTGAATTCGTATAAAAGTAAAAACTTGTTAATTCATATCGCTATTTTAGCCGTATATATATCGCACTAAATCACACACAGTACACAGTTTTGATCTTAGTTTTACAGATAATATGCTGAACTAAATATAACTCTGTACACGCCAAACTAAAGTCAACAAGTAATCAAAATGTCACCTGCACTCTAAAAAATGAAATTCTTTACAATTGTAACATCACAATGCTTTTACATCTAAATGTAATCACACCTTTGACTCTATTATACATTGAACCTGTCACTAATTCGTCTTCTTAATGTTAGTGGCATTTTCGTATATCTTGCTTTTTCTAATGAAATTGTATATTTATCACCTCAAAAAGGCTATAATTGATTGGAGAGAACCAAAAAAATTCGTTTTTTCCAATAGACAGACACTCGGGGATAACTGACGAAAGTGCTCTACCCCATCTTCTCTCTCTATATATATATATACGGGATGCTTATTCTATGACATTTTTGACAGTTTTATCATTTTTCCATTATTGTTGTCTCTGAGAAAATACAATTATTAAGCCTCTCTCTCTTTTTTTTTAACTACTGCAACCAACCAAAATTGTTTTATTATATCTATCAAAATTCCCAATTTTTTTTTTATATCAAACATGAATTCATTCTCCTGCGTGCTCTGCGAAAGCATTTAATTACCCTTGTATTCAGGCAAGTCTTTTATTTCCCAATTTCACGTCCACGAAAAGCTCTGAACATTAATATCATCATACACGCGCAACATTAGCCCCGTTTAAACGAAATTAAATTATTCCCGAATAGGGGAAGCAGGTCACGGGTATACATGCCTAAATTTTTCATTAAATTGAACTTTTTTCTTGACACAAAAACGAAGCTGGCCGCTTTCTTAATTTATACTTTTGCGAAGTGACGTAAAATAAATTCTCGATCTAATTTGTATCGGATTTCAAAAAGTCCGAGGAAAATCAATGCGAGTAAAACTTAAGGTAGCTGCATTATATTTCGTTGAAAATTTGCAGAAAAGTAACATAAATTTGGAAGTAAATTGATAATGTGTTTTATGTAATTTCTCTAACAACTTTTCAAAAATTTGTATATTGAATTACACTGGAGTGCAACTAATTTTATTGATTTGTTCTACTGGTTTATTTTCGAACAATAATTGTTTAAGTCGACTGAAAACGATTAATAATAAACTAAAAATTGAAACAAAATAAGGTTTTCCACAAAAACATTTTGTTGTTTATAGGTTAGGCGCTACTTCTTGTTATTAAAAAATATGAACCATTATTTCATAAAAGATCGATCGTTAATTCAAATTTTGAATCGTAAATTCAAAATGATAAAATGTCGGAAAATATCAATTAATTTTGTTTAAAATTGAATTACTGTTATTCCAATGCATTATACTTTAAAGTTACTCCGTAAAGTGTAAAATTACGTCTAATCTGAAACGGGATACACCTATTCTGTTGACTTAATTAAGGCACAACGGCTTATGTATTTCTAAACGGAAATTTTATGTTCTGATTCTTGCAACTAAATTCTGTACAAAATTTTAACTAGGACTTTTATTTGGTAAATTAGAGAATCATATTCGAAAAGAGAAATTCCCATAAATTTTCTTTTTCTAAGTTTAAATCAAAATAGTAAGAAAGTCACTGTAAAAGAAGAAATAATTTCAAAAATTTGATAATAAAAAAGTTGTTGATTTGAAATTTCAGGGGGTGTAAGGAAATCATTGGTACCAATGGTGTAAGTTGGTTCCAGAAACTTAATTCCTGTTTTTTTATTTACTTTTCACCACAAGTGTGATGTACAAGAGTACTATTGTACCGTTATCTAATCATTGTTACCTTGCTCATCCTCCCAAGTCAAGACTCTCGCTATTCATACTAAGTAATGTTCCAGACAGACGTACATATTTTCGAGTTCCGACTTCATTTAACGGTCGATATGTATTTAATAATGTGCTTACTTAATTAGATTTAAGCAATTAGTACACCAACCGTTTCAATATAAACAAAATTTATGATATTTTTTGCAATGAATATATAAACTGATAACTGGCTGCTGTCTGCTTTTTCATAAGATAACACAAATACCTCGCAACGCAACTCGTTTCAATCGGAACAATTTGCTTAACAGCGGTCTTCGTTGAAAAAAAAGTTCAAAGAAATGCTTTTACTAAAATTAAAACTATCAATACCGAAATGAACGCAAAAACTGTAAAAACCGCAAATAAAATCTGGCGGACCATTAGCTGCACCGTCAGCCATTCTCCTAAATGAGCAATTTTTCACGTCAAATATAATAAATTTATGTATAAATGAACGTAAAATAATCATAACAGGACAATATAATTTTGTTCTTTTTAGAACTACTATAGACATGAACTTCAAAAACAATTTTAATAGTTAATTACTCATTATTCATAGTGAATTTATCAGTTAATTTTATTAGTGATCTGATTTTAAAACTCTTTTACTTAATGTTACGGAAAATCCATCGATCGTAATCGAGTCATTTTCTACGCCACTTACTACTAAATAACAAGACATGAAATTTTAATCTCATTGAAAATAAAAAAGCACTCTGGTAATTTCAACAAATGAGGGTAAATTTTATTTATTGTAAAATTTTTTGGTTTAAATTTTAGCAATTTCCGGAAAATTCTGGTTACACGCTGTGTGCTAGTATTCAGGTTAAATCGTTTTTGACGATACATTTTGAAAAAAGTATGTGAAAAATGTGAATCTTGTGTCTCGCGAAAAAATGAAATATTTAAAATAGGTTTTTATGAAATAACACGAAAAGTAGGTAATATTATCATATATTTTAATCATCCTGACAATATAGTATTTATAACCCAACGACTTATATTGAATATATTAGCAACTTTGAAAAGTAATTAATCAAATAAGTAAATGTCTAAGGTGCACGAATATAATTTTGAAACAATAATAATTCCCGGTTCAAGTTTCGTTCTTATTATAAAAGATATTCTACGTATCTAAGGCATACTATACGTAATTATGACGTATTTGAAATTCCTTTCTTACCCACAAGTGATGACGTTACTGCTGGTATATACTACTTCAATAAAAGCAAAGTGGAGATGTATCAGTGGTAATTACTACACTTCACAACTAACCGCTACCTTAGCTTTAATATTTTGTTCCATATCACTCCATTTTTTTAAGTTCCAACCTGTTTATTTTCTATGAAAATAAAAATATCCGATATCCCAATTTGTATTGTTGTGCGATACATCGAGGCATGTTGGTGGTGTCGTTTAGCAAATTTTAATAATACATTTATAGATATTTAAAATAAAGAGTGAAAATTTATTATATTGATGATAACAGTTTGAAATTTTGGTATTTTATTTACTTTAAATCATATGGCAATCTGACATCGACAAAAGCAAAGCTTGAAATTATCGATCCGAATACCTTAAATAGATGGGTAAACTTTTAGTTGGCCTGAATTGTGGTTTTGATTATTTTATTTAATATTCACACATATTGTCTTATTTCCACCATGTGTAGCAAATTGTTAATAAAATAAAATTTCCATGTCCTAATCATAAGACAGTGGAGTAAAATAAATATCCAATCAAAGATGAGTGGGCTACGAGTAATCATTGTAGGAGTCTTCGTTGGACTGATTATAATGTTAACCACGAATCTGGATGTCATCCGCTTGAAAATGTCAACAAAAGACTCGGTGGTAATAGAAAGATTTCGAACACGGAGGGCTATTGGACACAAACGTAAGTATACATTACATGCTTGAAAATATTGAATTTTTATGATTCACAAAGGGTGACCCAAAAACGAGAGCCCGTTATCTTTTTGAATATGTTCTAGTCCTAGAAAGAACATAACTTTTGTGCAAAGCGTCCTAAGTTACTGAAACGTTTGGGTATAATCATACGAACAGAAATCGAAGTGTTGAATAAATTTTCTCTATTTTGAGGCAGACGTTATTGAGAAATTTAGAGATTATCTTTTGTTGCGTCACCCTGTATGTTTCGGTAATTATGGGGTCTATTGTGCTTGACTATCTAAATAGTTTGTTCCATTTTTGTACACTTCAAACTCCAAAAAGACGATAAGTCAGTTTTGCGAAGTTTGACCTTGCACCCACCGACACGGACGATTTATGGTAATTCACATCCCTAACTCTAGAAAAGGGGATGGGAAACCAACGACCCGCGGGACACAGAATGACCCATCGTGATTTTTATTTGACCCGCCAAGTCAGAAATTGGTGATAAAATATACCAACAGCTCGGAGTGATTTAGACTCGATATTTCTGGAAAGACGATTTTTAAATAACAGGTAATGTCATATTCAAATTTGGAGCGACGAGCTACAAGATAAAAAGTTGAACTATTTTATCATTTTCGTGAATATCCAAGCATATAATTGATTGAATATCTTTTGCAATCAATCCAATCTACTCATTTTTGAGCTATCGGTCACTGGACATTAGCGGGTCAATTAAAATTTTGAGGTTTTTATCACAAGATTGACATAATTTAAGAATGCGTGTAAGAAGTCTTGCCAATGATACGTTGAACCGACTGGGTTCAGTGAATTGGAACTTCGGCTATGCTTCATATAAATTTGAAATGTCGGTACTTTATTTTATAATAGGATTATGTTTTAGTAATCTTTCCTTTTTCCATAATGAAATACGGACAGAATAATGCTGCTGGTATTATTTCAGTCTGCAGGTCGCAAAGGAAAAACATAAATCGTTATAAAAAAAAAAACGCAGGACTGGCAGAGTTATCATTGACATTCCTTTGACAACCCCCCAGTAAATAACTCGATTTATAAAATGCTTTTTACAGTTACAGAGCCATGACTCAAATTCCAGTAACATTGCAGTCATTTGTTACCCATAATCTAGCGGAGTTGCGAATCTTAAAGCCGATAATCATTTTGTCTATACATATTCCCGCATTTAGAGATCGTAATATAATACTCAAAGTGGCGTTTCCCAAATTACGTAATTGAAAATTAGGCCGCCATTAAACTATATTCAAATCTGAATTTTAAAATAAAATAAAAATAAACAAAAAGATAAAATTCGCATTTAACTAAAATATGTCAACATTGACCAAATTATTGATTATTCTGAGTTTATCAGTTAAGCTTATCGATTCTGTTAAGAAAGATTGAAAAGTTACGTGTTTTCAATTATCCATATCCTGAGCGAATGATAGTATTTCACCATAAGTGTATGTATGGCTGTAAAATTAAATGGGTACCAAAATCTATACAAGTATATATTATGGTCTTAATAATTCAATTTCCAACCTCCACTCCGTTAGAAAAAAAATAGGAACAAGGGAGCAGTACCCAAATATACGGACGAAAAGTTGATAGTGATGCATCAAAAATATAAACATGGCGTTATTATAACATCAGACGATCATATTTAGTAGTGAGAATGATATAATCATGTAATAGAAGACAGCAATTATCAAATATATGGGCACGCAGGCCCAAACGAACTAGCTCGCATATCAAATATTTACAGTTCCTGTACCGTAGTCTTCCCAGCTTGCACTGATCACCGGATCGCGACGTCATCACACAATGAAAAACGAATTTCATAAAGCGCACGGAATTTTAGGAAATAAAAGAAGTAACAGCATATACAAATAAAAAAAAATTCAAAATGAAAATAAATTACACACAAATATAAATTTCATCTGTATGTATTTCAAGTAAAAAAAATGTTGTTTATGTGTGGCGTTAAGGCGAAACCTAATTACGCTTGAGAACTAAACAAAAATATTAACTTCCAGCAAGGTCACAAGTTTCAACTCGAACTGAGAGATCTCGGTGGAAAGTCACAATCAATCATTCAACAATTTGAAAAATTCTAAAATTTCAGCCAGCGAATATTAGTTTACATGAATATTTGAAGGGTTTGTTTGGTTTCTACCAAAACGAACACATGTGCTCATCAGTTTTGTGACTATTTCAAAGAAATGGCTAATTAGTTTCACTGACATTATCCATCAGGAATAAACCTGCTCTAAGCGGCGCGTGGGTGGTGGCTCGTTTTATAGTACGATCAAATTTCAGCCGAGGAATTGAGTCCAACCTTTTGGACAGGGGTTCCCGAACTGGGATACATACCCCCAGACGGGCATTTAAGTTTTTCAGAGGATGCAATTGATTGAGCAAAAGGATATTCTTTCCATAACCTTGATCTGCCTTGAAATATTATTTCTTATCATCTGATGCTAATTATATAAAGTCCTGAGTTTAAGAACTACTTAGGAAGGTACCAACGAACAAAACATTTAGGGGACCTTGTTTTTATACTTATACAAAAATGTATTATTACCTTTCCAGCTCCTTTGGTATTTGGAGAATGCGGAGGAAGCTCATACGGAAGATTTGGTTGGTTGGCATCACCTAACTTTCCAGGAAGTACATATCCGGCATTATCAAGCTGCAATTGGACAGTCTCAGTTTACCCCAGAATGGTCATTCGGGTGAGTCACTTTTATTATTCGCAACTCCATTTATAGAAGATCTTATATTTCTGTATTTTTCTTCTATTGAAATCACGCTTCACGCAATGTACAAATTCTTATTAAAAAGTTACGACATAATATAAGATAAAACGTGAAAGACATGACATATAAAAGACAGACTTGATATATATATATATATAAATCATATTATTTAGATGAGCATCTAGAAGAAAAAATCTAGTAAATGTATTTTATATACTAAGTAAGATTATGCTTTTTGTAGATTTTCATAATACAAAATTTGCCTATATATATTAAACAAATTAATCCTTTGGTTTAGTGGATTCAAGTCATGTCTGTCTGTCTTGTTGTATTAGTTGCTAGGAGATGCATGAACTTTGCATAGCTCATCTTTATGTATGCAAATTTGGATTAGGTATGCTGAAACCAGAAACATATATGAAATCATTTTTAAAAATATTTTCGGATTTTTTCAAATTTCAAGGCATCGATTGTTTTTGAGTATGTCAAGGTTTAAGTGTATTAGTATTATTAATTACAACAACAACAACGACAATAGCAACAATTATTCTAAATGAATGTTATTTTGTAAGCTAAATAGCGAATGTTTCTCGGATTCAAACTACACTCATCTGCTCACTCATGTGTCTCATACATCTCACTCACTCTCTATATTATCTCACTTATGTATGTAATCAATTCGACATGCAAATATAATCAAAGTATATTTGTGTTTTTTTAAAACATGGTGGTTTCTTGAATATTAGTGATTTCTTGTCCAAGGCTTTATTTCAAGAGACTACTTGATATATCAATCAGAATACCATTATTTAAAAAAATCATGTTACTACCCAAAAGTGATAGTTATCTTTGACGCTTTGCACAAAAGTTGTGTTTTCTTTAAGGCTAGAATATGTTTCAAACTACCTAGGTTCTGAGTTCGTTCTAGGTTTCTTTTTTGTGTATATAGCTGCTTGAACATATTAGTCATTACTTCAATTTTAGTTTGACTTCGTATTTATGGACATGGAAGACGCCCCGGTTCAAAAGAGAGGAAGCTGTTATGCAGATTATATCATGTTGAGAGAAGGACCAAACGAGGGAGATCCTTTAGTTGGGGATCAAAGGTGAGAGACAAATACCGAAAGCTAACGTTTCTTCCGTATTGTAAACAACAGACTTGCACATTGCCAACATTTCAAATTTGAATTTACTCGTTGTTTCACACTGATATGTATAGTTATATTCCATCATCATTTTGTCAGTGTTCTTCTTTCTTTTCAATGGCCTTGATTTATCAGTTTGATCGCTTGCACTTCATGGAAAAATACACTACATATAGTGTTGGAACATTTCAGTCTCGTTCTTTTTCCCGTGGCAATATGTGGCGAAGCCATATAAACTTTTTTGCCAGTGGGCATTGATTACTCCACTATAGTTTTACATCCAAATTTTATAAAAGATGGCCGTAGGTTCAATCGTCGGTAGCAATGCGCTGGTTCAACTATTTTACATACATGACATACATTAGCAGTGATATTTTCCTTGTGATTAAGAAGTATCGTATAATTTTCTTACTCTATTCAACATTAAGTATTTACTTAAAAATTTAAATTTTATTTGAAAGGTTTTGTGGATTTGACACAAAATTCAATTCAGTTTATTCAAAATCGAATAAAGTTTGGGCTTATTTTGCTTCCGATGGAGACATAGAGGGAGAAGGATTTGCCGTGAGATGGACAGCAGTTGAACCACCAAGTACGATTTTATGATTAGTATAATGTTATTAGGTCGATTGATTTTTACTTCAAGTCCACACTTGAACTTGTTTTATTTGTTTGTTACTGTTTCTCTCTCCTTGTTATGGCTAAAACTAGAAACTTGAAATTCATTTTAATTACAGTCTGCCGTTTTGTTGGCTGTACAGGTTTTATTGGCATTTGAGTTGAAGCTAAATCGTACCGCTACCAGTAATATTACTGTAAAACTACACATCACAATTAGAAAGTCGGCGACAATTAAAAGGACGGAAAAATGAATCAGCGTAAAATCGCTGTATTGGGACTACAAAAATAAGAATATTTTCTGCAGCAAATTCTGTCCGCTATATTTTCTATGCTGGTTTATCGACAGTAGTGACCAGTACTATCACATACATCACATAACGTCAAATATAAAAATTTATCGTCCCTCATTGCGCCGTTTGGAGGGTGCAATCATTCCTGCCATTCACAATTGGTATATTTCTGTGACACTGCTAAAATGTCAAATGGCATGCTCTTACACGTCACTGACCTAACTACATTTTATATTGCAGCAATTCAATTTAATTGTGATTTTGAATCGATAAATGATCTATGTATGGGTTGGGAACAAAGTACGGAAGATCAATTCGATTGGGTAACTCACCATGGACTGACCCAGTCCGGAAAAACCACGGAGACCGGACCAACAAGAGACCACACACTTAATAGCGCCCGTAAGCGAATTTTCTATACTATACTATACTTATACTATTTTGTTCTTTACAACTGTTTGCATCGCTTTAAGACTTTGCAAAGCATCTGTATTTACTTACTTTTTATATTCTGCGATGTATGAGTCACTGTTTTGAAGTCGCCCCTTCTGTCACAAAAATTATGTTAATCGTACATTTATTTTCCGTATCCATTTTCTTTTTAACCTTTTACCTTACTGTTGTCGAATATGTGATTTATTGTATACAAGTTCATTTTGCAACGCTAAAATCAACACCGCTGTCTTTACGAAAGCCCAATTAGTCGGATGGGACCCTTCAAATAGGGACAATATATCCATCCCTATCTAAGTATGTAACATGTGATCTGAAAGCTAGAACATTGGTGTATAACGAAACACGTTATCGGATAACAAACTTTGTTCTTTATTTATGACAGTTGGAACATATGCATACATTGAAGCATCGGGTCGTAGAAAAGGCGAAAAAGCGATTTTAATGAGTCCACCGATACGAATCCGAAATCCAATCCAATGCTTCAAATTCTGGTTTGTTGTTTAATTTTTATTATTGTTTTTATTACTTTATATGATTTCACAACACTTCTTCCCAAATAAGTGACAGTACCTATTATAAATATAATGACTACAGTATTCCAATTTAGCGTCCAAATTTATCTATTCAATAAAAATTGTAATGAGCGAGTTTTTTTAAAAATCAATTTTCTAATGTCGTTTTGGTTCAACTTATATAGGCATATTGGATCTAGAATCGTGAGCTTAGCATTAGTATATAAAATTCACCAAGGGCCAGACTATTCCAAGCCTTGAATTATTCCAAACCTGTTCTAAGAAGCTTGTAAAAATCTCGTTCAGACAAAAGGGACATCTCACAGAAAATCAGATGTTGTAATATGATAATTTCACTTCTTCTGAAGTCCGTACGACATCCAGTAATCGTTTTCCAGGTATCATATGAGAGGCGATACAATGGGAATACTGAAGGTATACATGAAACAAGTTATTCCAGATGTCAGCAACACTACTGCTGAACTCATATTCAACAAAACTGGTGATTTTGGGGATAGATGGAAACGATCATTTATAAATGTAACGTCTTCACCACACAGAGTACAGGTATTATTTTAAAGAGTACATCAGTTCAGTATACACATTTTCTGCTCCGAATACTTTGGGATTATATATTGCTTACTAAATTTTATATATTTTCTCTGAATTCAATCTATTTTACCTAATTTTCTTTTTCGTATTTGGCTCTTTTCTATAAATTTCCGATTTGGGGATCAGGAGACTTGATATTCTTGTTGGTCAGGATATAGGTAAATTGTACTCGAGAAATTTTGTACAATTGTCTTTTTTCTTCAAGATATTATAAAAACAATTTCGGTTTTCAGACTGAATTAAAACATATATTTGCTCAAAAACGCAAGGCCTAAACATGAAAGTATGCGCATTAAAAACGAATTGAAAATAAATACTTATATATGAAGATAGATAAATTAGCGTGACTGCAGACTCGGTTTAATTTTTTCCTCCTGAAACCCTAACAGTAATAAAATCATCAAAAAATGGCAGAAAGAGTTTATACCAATATTCCCCAATCAAAATTATGCAATTGTGCAGCTCAATCAATCTAACACTCGAAAATGTGTATACTTTGTTTTGCAGTTTCTCTTTGAAGGAATTCGAGGTTCAAGTTACAAAGGAGACATGGCCATTGACGATATTTCTATAACACGCACTCCATGTCCAGCCCCTGTAATAAGAACCACTACTACTACAACAACAACCATAGCAACAACGACCACTAGAAAGCCAAGAACTAAAAAGGTTCGCAGGCCTAAACCAACTGCGACGAAGAAACCACGGAGAACAACAACTCAACGGCCTCGACCAACCAGACGACGGCCACGACCCATAACAACAACCCCTCCATCAGTAAGTTTGAAGGAGTATAGTCTAAACCAGGGGTTCCCAATTTTTTTTTCAGGACGACCCCAAAGTCAACTTTCAAGTGCCCAGTGCGACCCCGTCAATGATATATATTTCATGAAACTTTAGAGCTTCTTCCACTGAACTTTTGAGATTGGTCATGTGGTGGTATTAAGTAAAATAAGCTAAAACCGAACAGTGATGTCACAATAATCACCTACATTTTCTATAGCAAAAGGAAAGAGCGATGCTTATGGGACTGTTTTACAGTGTGCCATTTACTTTTTACAGAAAATAAAAGGTACTCCTGAAGTATGTGCGCCAAGATGTCGCATAACCTGAACCCTAACCTGGTACACCACCTGAGTTCAGGTTGTGTGCCATCTCGGTGCGCATACTGCAGGAGGTCCAAATAGAAAATGTATGTATAGCATATATATATATATATAGTGCATTTATTCAATGTGGAACAATTTCATATGGACTGGTCCGAATCGCTACATTAATTGAATTTCATACTTGAACAAAGCCCATAATTGAAAATTTGTTTTTCTTCCTTTAAATAAAGTTTAAAAAAAGTTTGTTTTCATTTTTTTTTACAGAAAAAATGTGCTGGACAATACGAATGTTTAATTGTTGGTAACTGTATTCCGCTGAGTTACTTCTGTGACGGTGTCCCGGTAAGATATTTTTAAACATTTATTATAACACTAAAAGGTTTTAAACAAATCGCAAATGAGTTGCAAATGAGCAGTACGGTATTGATATGGATATAAGTAAAATCCAAAATTTTCAGCTTCTCTTTTGCATATATATTAAAAACTACTAATGGTTATTTCATACCGAGACTTATTCTAGTAATAAATTTGGTTGTAAAATAATTCAAACTTAATTTGGTAGATGGTATTTCCGTACGTTTATTTCTATTGCCAAAATGCATAGAATCACTGTAACATAGAATCACCTTGCTTGGTTCTTTCATAATTTCAATTTTGTAACAATTAACAGGATTGCTTACAAAAGGAAGACGAAGCAAATTGTACCACGTCCGCCGCGACAACTACTGCCGTACCGTTGAATGGTATTTAAATTTTGTTTGCAGTGTGTTTTTATGTAAATCCATTTCTTTACCTCAATATGAAGCTATATCTGCCGACTTTGGTTCGGAAAAGCAGATCGAAAAGGAAGGAATAATTAAGTATATTTGGTCACTTATTTATTGAACAATGATATGGCAATTCTGTTACCTCCGTCATATATATACGAAGAAACTTGTATCTTGTCACATATAGATGAGGAGCGCCATTTTAGTAAGGACGTATTAGAAGTATATATAAAAAAACATGTTTCAAAAAGTTCAAAACTTTTGAACACGCCAGCCATCGATAGGAAATTTGGATGTACAACTCAGTTCCCACATCCTAGTTCCTACATCACGATAACATGACCAGAATAACCTATTTTTCCCAATCTTCCTCACTTCGCCCACACGCTATGACGTCACATTTTTATTTATTATTGACAACATGCGTCTTGTATTTTATTGTATTATATTTATGAGCAACATTCACAATTAAAATTTAAATATATAGAGACTGTATCACAACCTGCCCGATTTTATGACATATGACGAAGCACAGTAGCCAGTGACTTTATTCTGAGATGAATCTCCTTTACTTCTGACTAAGTTTTCGTGACCTTGCTTTGTTATTTCTTCAGCCTGGAACCAATGGGGACCGTGGACAGCATGTGCGGTAACCTGCGGCGGGGGATCTATAGAACGGACGAGAACATGCAATAGTGCACAGCAGGATGACTTTGACGCTTGCGATGGAAGTTCGATGGAAGCGATGGAATGCAATACACGAATTTGCCTGAGTAAGACGATGTTTTGTTGTTGTTTCATTTAATGTAACTTAATATGATTTATATAATGTTAAATGATATTCTAATGTTTAATGTAATTTTGTACTTTTCTTATGGCTAAATAATATTTATGTCGGTACATTTTATTTTAAGGTTTAGTATATTATTCCAAATTTCTAAAATTATCTCACAGACTTGTAATACCGATATACAGCAAATTTCAAAGAAAAGGATAATAGAATATATGTGCTTGATTATAGATGAATACCTTCACCGAAATACATGCAGCAGAATCCTAGGTGCTTCTGTTATGCGTATATATAGTATGGTCCATACAAATGAAGACGTCAACACCAATATCACCGTATATCTATTGATAAAGATGTTAGCATGTTGCTGTTAACTTTATTAACTTTGCTCCCGCCTACCTAATCCAAAGCTTGAAAACACGCGAACCATCATTCCACAACAAATAAATAAGTCTTTGGTGACTTTGCAGAAGTCTGAATATATATATACAAGACAACATAAATATTTCCATTCTAACTGATTGGTGTTTTATTATCAGGTTGGAACGAATGGCAAAACTGGGGAAGTTGTACAAATCTTGTGACTCGGGAATTCAGACAAGAAGTAGAGAATGCAATGGTGGAGAACAGGGACAGGTAAAGTTCATTGAAATAGCACCATTTTCTTCTAAGCTACGTTCTTATTTATATCTTAGACTGACTTTAATTTTACTTTAGGCTGGTTGTATTGGACCTCTGATTGAAGTCGATTTCTGCAACAAACAAAATTGTCCCAAATGGAGCAAATGGTCCGACTGGAGTCAATGTCAAGCAACATGTGGAATGGGATCAATGTCTAGAAACAGGGCATGTGAGGGAGGACAGGTAAATACGAGTATATTGAATTGAGGGTACAGATTGGAAACAGTGTTTTTCTTGACATAGTGACAATTGAAACGTAAAAAAAATATCTTAGAACATCAAGTTTTCATTCCATTTATTTCTCATTTCCTATCATTCTATTTTACGCAAACTTTAACGTTATACATTGTTAAGTACGTTTATTCTCGTTTCAATGGGTAAATAATATATTCTACGATTTATATGTGTATATTTAATTTTATGACATTACATTTATTGGGACATCTTCCCCTTGACTAGTCATTCTTTCTTTATAAGTATTATAGTCTTTAATTATTTATTTATATATGTATATATTCTCATACATCTAAAGATTGGGGATTCAGGCTGTGATGGCAACAGCACAGAAACGAAAGAATGTATTCGTCCCAATACCCCAGCATGTCCAGGTCGGTAACCTTTTTTAGCAAATTAAGATAATTATTTTTATTAGCCATACTAGTATACTACAAATATAACATTGTTCAGAATGGACCGACTGGGATTTATTTGGCCAATGTAGCGTTTCATGTGGAGGAGGAAAAAAGACTAGACTCCGATATTGTCGACAGGAAGACAAAAAAGGAGAAGGATGTCCAGGAAGTTCGACGGATACAGAAGACTGTAATTCACAAAAATGCCCAGGTAAAATTTTATAAGAAGTCCGAATAACTTCATAAAAATTAGGCTTACTTTATAAGTATGGCGAAGACAGACAATTTTTACTGTGTTTCATTTTGCGTACAGGTCAAAATTCCTAAAAAATTATGGTGTTGAATACTTAAACAAATAGTTCGTTGGATATTTATCATGAATAATTTTCACAAAGCTACAAAAATGCAAAGCTGCAAGAAATTTAACTGTGCAATTGTTCGGTTCAGAATGGGCTGATTGGGCCCCATATAGTCGATGCAGTTTGTCTTGTGGAGGTGGTTACCATGGAAGAAGAAGACAGTGTATGTTGAGCGGTACATTAGCTAACGGGTGTTCTGGTAACTCCATTGAAAGTGGATTGTGCAACCAACAACCGTGCCCTGGTGAGTTTTATATAATATTTTAGAATCTATCCAGCTTAAAAAACAAAATAGAAAGCACATGATAGGTCGGGTTCGTTTCTCTCTCAGGCTTGTAGTAGCCTAGTAACATCGCTTACAAATCTGATATTTTCTATTTCAAATTGAATAATCCTGATTTATATCAATTATACTTGTTATATGTTATTTGCATTTCGATTCACGATCCATCAAAAGTATTGAATTAAATTGTGATAACTCTATCTGGTAGTCCACATATATATACTGCAGTTGCCATGGCAATGATGAGATTCGACGGATTCGCGCGAACTTTTTCTCCAAATATCGTGATGATCAGCGAACCCATTATTGAATTATGTTTTAGCCGTTAGACGTCCACAGCAAATGGTTAATGTGTACTGCAGCTAACTACTAACGCTATATCTGGCGTTTCGAAAGTTATGTATTAGATTTATGTAAAGCGTGTTATGTTGAGAAGCTTACGTTGTGACATCCATACATTTTCTGAAAAGAGGGAACCTGTTATTTGTGAGGTCGATACAAAAAGGAATTTTTGAATTTCACTACTGGCTAATACATTAAATCGAATATTGATCGTCACGAGCTTTTGAAAATTTTCGATAATACTCAAGTTGGCCATTGTTGATAAAGCCCTGGCATATTCACACAAGCTATATATACATAAAATACGTATTAAATCCAATCCAAAAACTCGAATGTTCTAATACAAACAAATCTGAAAATATTACCACATGTTAGTAAAGATGTCTCACCCAATAAATGCGTGCTTCGCTAATCGTGCTTTATTTTATTTTTTCAATGTCACGTAGCTTGATTGTGCAGAAGCAACATCATTTATATAATAACCGTTTGATTCCATGACTCAGCATTTGCTGGTGACATTGAATGTCTGAAAAGTACGGATACGTAGGATTTATTTGATTACTCTTCGGAACTGGTTTACGAGATTGATCGATGCACAAGGAGATCACTCTCCAAACACGTCGTCATCTCGAGGTATTTCACTGTCATAGAAGGTCGAAAATAAGATGACGAAACGACGTAGCGTAAATCAGATTCCTTGGAACCGACCAACCAGACAAGACAACTTGTAGCCTCCGGCGATTTAATCGTTTCGCGACTAAATTAGATTATTTTATTTAGTCATAAGTAGTCGTAGTGGAAATACAACATATCTACTTCTGTGCTGTCGCTGGGCTTATAGATTAATAAGTTTTCTGTATAATAATTGGATACGAAGTACGTGTTCGGAGACTAGGCCATCGTTACACTATAGACGGGATGTTTTATCTCTTTGATATACTGCTATTAGGTAACAGAGCATTTTTAGTCTGACATGAATAGCCTCAATAATTATAGCAAGCAATAATGCGATTTAAAATACTGGCAACTTGTAACGGACAACAATGCCCTTTTTCGCAAAATGAAGTCTATTAGTAGAATAGCAACAGCGACAAGTTGTGGCAGCTAATTTCAAGCATAGATTTGAGGACGGTTTGAAATATTTAATGATGTAATATCTGGGTAGATATAGATAAGAAATTGGAGACATACATATATTTAGATTCAGAATATGTGACATGAGGTTTGTGGTAAGATTGCAAGTCGTTTCACTCGCAATTGACATCATCATGTTCTGACTATTAAGCAAAAACGTTTTCAACTTGTACCGGTAGCATGGAAAATGACTATAAGCTTATTTGAGATGTAATATAAAATAATGCTCATGTTTAGTTATAGTTCTAGTTTAGGCCCCAACATGAGGTTTCCAAATTTACTCTTTTTGAGTACGTTTATTTACTTATTTGCACCATCTATGAGTGCTTGGAGTGATTGGGGTAAGTGTAGTGCCTCATGTGGAGCAGGCGTAAGAACACGAAGAAGAAAATGTGAGGACAATGAACTCGAATGTGATCCCGGAACCTTTGTTAAAGAAACGAAAGAATGCTACACACCGCCATGTGGAGGTAACTTTACATTATATATATATTTAAATCTGAGGCTATTTCTTAGATAACTTTTTTGTATTTGAATCTAAGTTGAAATATTTTCACAAGACGTCCATTAGACCAGAATTACGTGATTTTATTATTTGTTTCGTAGTTTATACAAAATAACCAGTCAACGTTATTTATTCTGAAAACAAAAAAAAGATTTTAGAGGACATATAAACTGAATGTAATCATATCTAAAAAAAAATTTTTTTTAAATTCGGGAAACGTTCAGAAAATGGTACTTGCAAATAATGCAACAGTAGCAAAATATATAGAACTTCATTTAGGTCATTTAATTTACTATTCGAAATTTTATTTATAGGCTTGTGTAAATTAATTTTCCTAAAAATGATTCGGCACAAAAATATTTTAACAGCTTATTAAACGTAGTTACTGAGTATACGTATATCGCTAGGGTTCTCAAAACGATTCATTACACTGGACACCAATAGAAATATTCTGGGATTTTTTTTTATGAATAAATCAAAATCGAATATCAATGATATAATCTACTATTTTGAAGCAACTTTGAAATTAAAATTTCTGTTTCAGCTTTATCTTGCTACGAAGGAATGTCATCTATGACTGGAGGTATCGAGGTTGTCAACAATTTTAAATTGAGGGAATGTCCCGAAATTACTTTAGCTCCAAAATCTAGAGATGGATCTGGACGTAAAGGTCTTCAATGTTCCATGACAACTCTGAAAGTGAATCATGCAGGAGTTGAGGGTAAATTGGTTCTGTTCTATTCAATCATTCTCTAAAATTGCATTCCCTGACGCAAACAACTTTGAAACATACTTTTAAATACACAGTGCGAAAATGTAGTATTTATACATATCCTTCGGTATTCTCAAAAAGATGCTTAAAATATAATTCTGAATTGAAGATAAAGAAAATGTATTGAAACCGTGGTCTATCACAGTAATCAAATATATGCATTAAAATTTTTTTCATTAAAACACGCTTTATCTCTGCTTAAAATATTTAATTTATTTCCTTTCAAGTAGTGAACGTACCAACTAACATTTTGATTCCCCTTTCTTATCTTTCTCGTTTTCGAATCGTATTGTCAAAATCCACAACCTAATGCGTGAATATTTGTTATCATGGTACGTACGTACATATAGAAAAATCAGTAAAATGGTAAATGTAAACACCTGTATACACTCGTACTCGCTCAACACACAATAACTCACATAATTTCCTTTTCCACATGCACACAAGGACTCTTACATATTCACACATACAAACACTACCCTTCAGCACAGATCCAACCACATCAATTTTATTTGCTTCCATTTCTTTAACACAAACACACTTACATAACCATGCAAGTTTTTTTTGTGTACACAAAGACACACATCTCCATACACATACAACATACAACCTTCCACACACAAATGTCTGAATGTCGTCTTCAACTGAATTTTCATTATCTAGCATTCTAGTCTATATTTTTGTGTCGTCATAGCGTTAGTTTTAATCCGAATAATTTTTTTGTATCTTATAGTTAACATGCTCCAAGGAACATGTTTGAACGACGAATTATGTTCAACAATGAATTGCAATCGGTATTCAAAAATGATGAAACAATACAACATCATATCTTGCGAGACAAAATGTTGTAAACGAGATGGATGCAATGACCCAGATCGTTTTAAATCAGATGTTGGTGATCCCAAGGATCGTAAGAATGACATAGTATTATTATGACATAGTAAACACATATACAGTAGTTTAAATACTGACTTTTGTGTTAGTACTTTTGTTTGAAAGAGCAAAACTCGCTGCTTGTCTAGCGCATTATTCGGAGTGAACGGAGCGGAGCAAACTCCCAATATATATTCGTTTGATGTTATTTTTTTATATTATTTTTGTGCATGTCTGATACGTATATTTTTTCGTATTATTTGTTTATCTTATTTCTTCAATTTTTTATTGCATTGTATTTTAACGTTAAAAATAAAATCACATACAAAAATCTTGTACATGGATGTATTTACCGCATAAGGTCATTGGAAATACATGTGACAATTTTTTTTCAAAAATTCAAGATTATCTCGCACAAGATAATGAAGAATATTCATTTCCACAGCGGACCCGTGCGAAATATCAGCGTGTCAGAACGGAGGATCGTGCATAACAATTAGAGGAGCTGGAGGTCTTCCTGATTATGTTTGTGCCTGCCCAAGTGGATTCAGAGGGAAAAATTGTACCGAAGGTAAAATATTTTTAGTTGGTGAAGTTGATGGTTTTGTCTGATGCTTATATTTGCTTGAATGAAAGAAAATTGATGTTAGGTTGGGATATTGTGTAATGTTTTCCTGGTATTTTACTTGACTGACGTTTTTTTTTTTTTTTTTTATATTTGCTTTGAAAACCAAATCAAATAAAACATTTAAAGCATAAATATTAGGAATAAAACTATAGACATTTGAACGCGTAAGTTTCGTACAAGAAAATAAGCGACTTTGAAAACGCCATAGACTGTTTTATACTCGCCATTTGTGTCATTTAGTCTTGAGTCTAAATGAAACACATTACCATTGTCCTTGACAGCTGCAGCAAGAGTTTGCTACACCGGTGTATCCACGAGAAACGCAGTTGAACCAAGCAACGCTCTCATGCTTCCAACATCATGTGCATCGTCAGCTGATTCCTGCATGATTGCTACAGTTATGACTAATGTTGGCGGATTGGCAGGTGAGTTATCCTATCAGTAAGTACGCTTGTCAGAGTCACAAAATAGTAGCGAACAAAAGACTACGGAAAAAAACAAATATTTTCTGGGTACTTCTACCATTTTAGGCGTCTAAATATACCTTTTTATTTCAATTTCTAAATAGGGTTGGGCAAATATATCATAATGAATGACATAAATATTATCACGTAATTTAATTTTGCATATTTTAGCATACGTTGATACTGCACAGTGCGCCAATGGAGCCATTTGTAAAGGACTTACGTGTGATACTTTGAAGAAGACGATGCCAAATTTCAACGTAGTCGACTGTAAAATTATATGCTGTGACACAGATCTATGTAATACTGCTCCGATGGACGTAAGAGTATTCTTGATTTGGTTTCGAAAAGCCCAATAATATTTGGTCTCTTTATCACAATTTTTTTTTTTGAACGTTTAGAATATTTAGTAATCCTTTTTTGTTTCTGATATCAATGACGCCATTTGCCGAGATGTCATAAATAATAACCTTTTAAAATATAATCATATCTTAAATATAATCATGAAAATGCTACACAGATTGTGAAATGCAAAACAGTTTGTATTAACCTCTGTTAGATTTAAAAAACGAAGATTTTACAGAAATAGCAAATGATATTATAAAAAATTTAAATAAAATCTCAGTTACCAGTCTTTACAACAACTCCGTACACGACGACAAAACGGCCAAAAACAACACGGAAACCCAGAACAAAGCCACCACGAAGAACCAGAAAACCAAAAACACCAAAACCATCCAAACGACCACAACGTACCACGACACCCAAGACAACAACAAAGCCGACACCAACTACCACAGTCGACACATCAGGTAGGCTTCTACTATAGGCCTACTGTTTGATACTTGTATAATGCCATTTTGCACATCCACTTTTTCCGTACAATTCGGTATGATTAATGATTAGTCCAAAAATAAAATCTTTGCAGAACAAAGTGGACATTTCGGTTATCGAATTCATTAAAATACATATTTGTTAGGATAGGATGTTATGGACATACATACCTGCAAATTTATAAGTATGAAAGAAAATTCAAATTCAAGCACGAATATTGGGCGATTTCATTGTTGGAACAGACGCAGGCTGATTCCTTTAGCGTACAAAGAGTCGAGATTATCTGAACGTTATTACTGACAAGTATGCATTCGTAAAAATTAATAAAGCCCAGTGTCATATATACTGATCTCAATGCATATGAAAAATAATCTACCACACGTTGTTACGATGATTAATTACACCTTCAAACTTTTCGTTTGTGCAAAAAGCAATACCAAATCTACAATAATCTTATTTCAGGACCACATTGGAGTCAATGGCAAGATTGGCAGAGATGTACCCACAGCTGTGGTTCAGATGGAATAAAACAAAGATTTCGTTTCTGCATGAAAGGAGCACCAGGAATGGCAGGTTGCATGCCAAAAGAAGGAATGATTGAAAAGGAACCATGCAATACAGAAAAATCTTGTATAAGTAAGTTCTATCTGATGTATAATATCAAAAGTTAGCTGTATAATACACGTAGGAGTCCTACTTTTTTCTGGGTACTCCCGTAGTGTATGCACCAGGTTAGGGTTAGGCCATAATTTTTATCCGCTTTTCCTTATTTTAGTTATATTACCAGTTTGGGGATTGTCTGTGTTAGCCAAGTAAATTTCCCCCTGACCATAGGTTTTGGTCCCTTTATACAACTTGATGTCGGAGAACAAAATTAGTTACCTCCATATTGGTACAAACACTTCTGGAACGCCTTTTTCGGACTATGCTAAAACTATAGCTCCGGGACTGCGGAATAAAAAAATGAAATTTTGACTATTCGTAGTATCTTTCCAGTGGCAATTCCAGTCACCGATTTTACTTAAGCATACAAAAATGAATTAAATAATCGGTATTTCACTAGATTGGAGAGAATGGAACAGTTGGCAATCTTGTTCTCGTTCATGCGGAGGTGGGAAACAAGAGAGAAGAAGATCGTGTGATGGTGGGGCTCCGAACAGTGGAAACTGTATGGGAAACGATTTGGAAGAACAACAATGTAATCAACATTCTTGCGACGGTCCACCACGTAAGGAAATTTACATCTTCAACAAAATAAAACGCTTTCATAGCCGAGTTTGAACATAAGTTGGCAAAAGTTTTTATACCGAATGAAGTATTCTCGATACTGTTGTATTGTACCGATTTTGATATGTAATGGATCCGGATGGAATTATTATCCGGGCCCGTGGATATTAAACCCGACCTGGCCCGAGCCCATTTTACGCGAAATCACTCTTAAAATGAGCCCCGGAAATTTTGCAATGGTAAAGTATAGGAAGAATATTTTCGGGGGTCAAAGGTCGGGGAAAGGTTCATTCATACAGCTTCTTCTCTGATCTATTCAAATTATTTCTTTTATATCAAATATTCCTTAGTTTAGTATTCAAAACATAGTTTTAGTATATATTTTTATTAATTAAAAAAAAAAAAATCAGCGATAGAGAAACCCGACCCGACCCGAAATTTGGGTCGGGTCGGGCTCCAGATTTTGGCTCTACCCTGTATACATATACTAGCCTAGCTGTTAAAGCATTACTTAACTGTGTTGGCATCGCAGGCTATACACTCGGGTTCAAATCCCATGCGCACCACCGCCGAACCGTGTTTCTGAAAACAGCATCCTTACATATCGTAAGATATCATACATTCAACTAATTTCATTGTTCCGGAAAGTATTAATGGTAACGATATGAGTATTCACAAACTGGATGGGGTTGGAATCAAATCTTCTTCAAGTAAAGCATCAGAAATGAAAATCATATTTTGTTGTTCGGCGTATGCTCAAAAAACTTTGAATTTTTCGAAAATTCATTTCCAAATTAGCAAGGCATCAGTATTTTACATGAGGTAGACGTAGAAGATAATACGTGACAAATTACGTATTGAAAATTATATGAATTCAAATTAAAAAAGGAACTATATTTCGATTAAATAAATATTTCATTATTGTTGATTTACTCTTTAAACCTTACATTTTAAGCAACTACGACAACCACAACAACAACAACAACAACAACTACCACTACTACACCAACTACCACCGCGACTACAACAACGCAAGCAGCAGCTAAGCCAAAACGAGCAAGTGCGTGGTTAAAATCTCAACTATTATTGCAACAAACACTAAACTGTTCATAAATGTGATGTTAATGTTATAAATTTTATTTATTGATCAGACAAGGGATCGCCTCAATTAATATTGGTCATTCGTACTCTAAACTTGATCAAAGTATTCACTGTAAATAGCACATGTATTTACTTTACCTATTTAACAGTATGTGGTTTGAAATAGATCTGACTTGACGCTATCAATACCATTTGGGTATTATGTTTATTCAGGGTGGGAGAAATGGAGTGATTGGGATACGTGCAGCGTAACTTGCGGTCAAGGTACGCAAGAAAGATCTCGTTCCTGTATTGGAGGAAGACTTGGAAGACGAGGTTGCAGAGGCGGTGCCAAACAGAAAAGAGATTGCAACGATGGCGATTGTGGTACGTTTTAATACAAATACATTCTACATGTCTATTCTACATGAAATAAGTATTATTGGTATTGACGACTCAACCCCCCAACTAATCTTCAGTCATGTAAAGTTATCAGACATTCAATTAAGTTAAACCATTTGTGCTCGGACAAAAATATGGGTTTGATTATGGCTGCATTGATAGGAGCACGTTTAAGTGCGTATCAAGGATCGAATTCTGTGGTCGATAACCGCCAGCACGCGACCGAGTTACTTGGTCGAATACTTTTCCATGGCCAATGCTTTGAAACATCTTTATAACGTTTAGCGCAATTTCTGACTAATTTTCAACACCACGTATGCAAATCATATAAATTTACACAAAATAATATATTCAGCAATGTTAATTTATTTTTAATCAACAACGAGCATTCGAATATTTTTGAGGTATTTATCTAGTTAGTTGAAATGTGATTTTGGAAGTTTGATTCGAAAAAAATTTCACTTGTAAATTGGTCTGCAATGCAAAAGCGTTTGCCGTTCTCTAGGGCCTAAATGTTCCTGAATTGAATGTTTATTTAATTATTGATTAATTATTTATAAATGAAATAAATTTACTTTAGTGACGACAACTGAAGCTACCATCCCAGCCTCGACTGCAAAACCAAAAGCTCGTAAGTATTTTGGTTTTCAATTTTTTTCCACATCTTATTGCTAATATATTTGGTTTTAAATCGCTAACTCCGAGGTAATCCTGTAACCACATCATATATATAAGTATATGTACCTTTCTTGCCAGGTTGGGGTGACTGGGGCGATTGGGAAACATGCAGTGTTACATGTGGTAAGGGTACGACTAAAAGATCGCGTGCCTGCATGCACGGTAAAATTGGAAGAAAGGGATGCAGAGGCAAAAGGAATGAAAAGAAATCTTGCGATAAAGGACTGTGTCTCGGTTAGTAATTATTCATATGAATTAAACACACTGCGGTGAATTTGCATTGGTCAGTATTATATATATAATATATATATATATATACTGACAATACTAAATAAAGATCTCAGTGGATGTAATGTTTGTCAAGCTACAAATCTAATAGATAATATTAAAGAATACTTATGTGGCTTCAATGTTTTCTACATTTCTACAATGTTTCACACACTTACTTTGCTAGATAATACGAATCCTTCTTCCATTTCATTAGTTTTAACTACGACTTCGGCTGCACCCAGTACCGAGGTACAATGTATGAAGCGCGACGCGAAGGCATCCAGAAGAAATGGCCGCCGATGTCCATTTGAATGTTCTGCCGATAGCAATTGTGATGATGGAGAGAAATGCGTTTGTGATGGACTTTGTGGCAAAACTTGTCAAGATACCAGTAAGTTATTTCTAAAATGTACTAAATACATAAATAGACATTGAAAATTAGTTTTAATACCATGAAGAAGCTAAGAATGTTGAATGATTGCCTTAACTTTCTATGTGGTTATGATGAAAAGTAAAAATTATGCCTATTCTGGAATAATTTGTAACCAATGTTCAAAGTTTTTCACCATGACCATTTATGAAAAAGCACGTATTACCATATCATTTCTATATTTTAGCGCGGAAATGTATAAATATTCTTTCTGTCGAAGAAGACGGTACTAAAGTATCTTGCTCAAACGGAATATTTGTTGGATCAAAATGTACATTTTCGTGTGAAAGAGGATATGAATTGAAAAATGGTCCTGATGTTTATTGCCAAGGATCGACAAAATGGACGAATCAAAGAAAAATACCAAAATGTGTTTGTAAGTATGAATTCAAGTCAAGTTAGAATTTGGTACACATCAATATATCGGTAATCATTTTCGCCAAGGGAATAGCAGAAGAAGGTTATCGTGCGTGGTGCGCAAGGTCATAATACCAGGACCTACAGTCTGTGACTACCTGTTTTACAATGAGATAACGTGCGACTTGCCATACAATTTTACCGGAATGGATTGGTATTCACATGTTCGTTTACATTTTCAGCCTCTGGACCTATACCAGAAACGACAACCACTGCTTTTATTGCTGCAATTACAATTGCTACACCTATTTCTCCAGCCCAAAAATGCACTTTCAAAAACGATGCACAAGATTCTTGCTGCGGAAAAATTCCACATATTTCTAAGAAAACTCGATGTTGTAATGGGAAAGTTCGGTAAGTTCAGGAAAATGAAATTTCTGTACAATCCTCTCATACATTGTTTCTCTGCGACGTAGCACAATGGATATTCCCCCGAGAATCGACTTCTATGTTTACTTCTGTAGCATTGGCCTCTCAGCGAGATATCAATGGTGACGTAACAATTGAGATTTTAGGATTTTTGAATCAAACTATAATGACTATGAACATGCAAGCAAACCAGATTTTAAACCTCATCTCGCGAAAACACCCTCAAAGTGAACGGTATTGTTCGGTTCTGTTGTTACATGTTTTGTTTTGTATTCTAGGCCTGCGGGACCAAGCATGACGGACTGCTGTGGTACCAGACCATACAACCCTAAAAAATCAGGATGCTGCGTAAATAGTTTATATAAGGTAAGTTTATAATTTCGATACTTTTTTTATTTTAATTGATAAAATCGATGTTCTATGGCTTCCTAGTTTATTCATATTGTATGAAATATTCAAACATACCGTACAGTGCTAAATAAAAGATCTGAACCAAATTTAGCACACGCAGAGCCCAAATGGTAAGAGATTTTCTATGGGTTTTCGATTTATGTGGCTAAAATATACAGGTAACATTTTTTTGTTTTATTTGACGATTTTTGTTCCAGAAATCCAACCAGAAATGTGAAGATGGCAAAGTGGTGAAGAAATAATATAGTTCCAGTTCGCAGATTTTTCTACCGGCATCATGCTTAGACAATTTATTGTCAACCTGTTATCCACACTGTTTAAAAATGTACCTTTTATGTATTATATAAACATCTATACGGAAAATGAGCATTAATCTTTTTATTTTTGAAATTTCGAACCTAACATTCTGAATCTACTGATGGTAATTGAATATAACGCAACATGCAAATGTCATTTCAAATGCTACAGTCGATAGCCTGGACAGCGGTCTGGAAAAGTCGTTTTACACCGAAGTAGACAATAATGTCATGTTTATCAAACTAAATTAATAGTACTAATTAGTTTTTCACTCGTTGCATAGTTACAATTGAAAAAAAAAGATCAAATTGAATTATGTATTAAGAATAACTTTATTTTCAAGCTTCAACCGCCAATAGTTGGACTTGTTAAAATAAACAATACTTTCCTAACGCACCAATGTTGATTATTCTGAGTTACCTTCTTTGAGTACTTCTTAGAACTAAAATTGCTGGCGAACCTTGCGTGCCTAATGAAGAATACCCACGCAAATATTACTTTGCAGATAATACAGCTACGCGTTTATTGCGTCAAGAAAAGATAGCACTATCTGTGGACTGCAAATTAAAACGAAATCACAAAAAAATTGGCTCTAAACTGTTTAGGGAAGAACAAAAAATAAAAGTGAAAAAGCAGCAGGCATCGTGCATGAAGCAATCAGCTAGCTATTCAATGTAGCGCTACTGAAGCAATTATACGATATCTACAGTCTCATTAGAATAGAATAAGCTTTCACACCAAATTTGAAATTCAAATTACCTACAATACTATATCACTGCACTCATTTAAAAATGTAGGCTTCTGCAAACCTCTGTGGAGATGATGTGGCACGCAATCCGAAACAATTGCCCACCCCTGCTCTAATAACAGGTTTTTGACTGAGTTAGAAGTAACATGCGTAAACGGTTTGAAACGATGAACAGTATATATCTTTCCGACAAAAACTACAGTTTATCTTGGGAATAAGCATGCATTGATTCGTTACAAGTTGCATTGCACAATATGGCTTCACAAAAAAATCGTCTGACTCGAACATAAAGGGAAATATATATATTTATAGCGTTTCAAATGTGGAATAAAAATCAGAATACAGTGGAAATCAAATATATAGGTTACTAAAACACTATCAATTATGGCCTGCTACAAATAAACAATAATTTGGCAATGTTCCTTGTTTTGAGTTATATATTTAGTTATATTGATCAGTGTTGGGATTCAGCCGGTTCGCACCGGTTCTATAGAACCGCCCGAACCGGTTAGCATTACTGTTTACTGTCAATGTTCTGTTCTTAACAGAACCGGCTGAAAAATATGACTTTTGTGAAGGAACCGGCTGACAAAAAATTTGAATCCTACCACTGATATTGATGCTATATCACATCTTGTGATCTTCAAATATAACTGATAGAGTTGTCTATAATCGTTCCGCAAAATAACAATGCGATAGTCCAGTTTAGGTCATCTCCGTCTTGCTTCCACTGGACAGCCTGATGTTATTGAATTGCCCGTGTTGAAGGAGATCATTCCAGTACCGCATAGCCATCTAAGGCATAACCAACGACACCAAAATAGGATATGAACTCGAGTAACACTTGAAACTAACAGCAAGGCATCCCGTGAAATTGAAAAATAGTTCAGAGCTAACTTTTTGAAGCAGAATCGGTCTGAATGTTGTTGCGAGTAGCCAGATACCTACAGAGTCGTTTGAAAGTTTGTTCGAAACGATCGTAATGTTCGAATGCGTGTAAGGAAGTCTGGTAATTATCAGTTGTTCTGCTTGGCTCTACTTGTATTGAGAAGTTGAGGTGAGTTGCCATAAATGAAACTGGGATTAATGTTTATATAATGCCATAATCCTCATTTTTGATTCGTGCGAATTAAATACTGAAAAATAGCCATTCGGGCGATCTGGCACGGGGCACGATGCCACAGAAATCTCAATTATGCCTCAGTGGGCCATTGGCTTGTGAGGCTACAGGGTTGACCAAAAGTAACCGGAATAATTATTGGACTTATTTCATTAAGCATTTACTGAATGGAATAAATTTTTAGTTGTTGTCGTCAATTATTGTGCGCGGGAAGCCGGCATAGCGTTGTGCATCGCTCATTCGGT